ATTCATATGCCATGACACAAGATGGAAACCTGCATAATATACTATTTAGATTGATAATGAAATAATTGTAGAACTGATGAGATATAAATGAAATAAGTAACTTCATCTGATTAATGGTAACCCATGTCTGTGTTTCCTGTTTCAACCTGTCATTGTCAGTCCCTATGACTCAATACTTGACTCTTTGCCCTTTCCAAATAGGCAACTAGGCTATATACATTGAAATATACCCAATATAATGAGTTGTGTATATTAAGACTGTATCATGCGGACAAGAAAATTCAGTCCTACACTACAAGTATAATATGCAAAATGGATTGACCTCTAAATGTTAATGAATATGGATAAAATTTTACAGACCTTATCTATGAACCAAATGGACAATTTTAAGGCTTGTGGGGGCAATATATTACTACTTATATTTTTTACCATATAGTTTTGGACCACCCTAATATATATATATATATATATATATATATATATATATATATATATATATATATATATATATATATATATATATATATATATATATATATATATATATATATATATATATATATTTATATATATATATATATATGTAAATATATATATATATTATATATATATATATATATATATATATATATATATAATATATATATATATATATATATATATATGCATATATATATATATATATATATATATATATATATATATATATATATATATATATATATATATATATATATATATATATATATATATATATATATATAAAACAAAAAAGCATGTCTGTGTGTTTGTTTGTTTGTGTGTCCGTACGAGAATCTCGGAAAGTACTTTACCGATCTGTAGATGGATGGTGTTATATGATGATGGATAGTGTTATATGTAATGATGATGGATGATGTTATATGTAGTGATGATGGATGTCGTTATATGCAGTGATGATGGGTGGTGTTATAGGTATCCACTAGAGTGCTGGCCTCAGTTTGTGACCATTCATTCACTCAGATAGCCTCAGTTTACACTCAGTGCATCCATGGACGGGAAGAGGGAACGTCAACAGGTGACCCTGACCAGTAGATAATACTTCTAGCTGACAGAGGACACGTGGTGTTGTGAACCTACGTGGGAAGAACTGATCACCCAATGCTGGTGCTGGTCCCGCGTCGTTTTAGTTGTCGGGAGCACTCGTTCACTCAAGAGATCCCTTGCTAACCTCGCTAACCAGTGACAAGCCTGCTCTGATCTTTCCAATTGCGACAATCGCCAATCATCAGTCATCAACGGCAGTCGTCTCGTGTGGACACACAAACAAACAAACACACAGACATACTTCTTTGTTTTATATATGTATAGATTAAGCTACATTAATTTGTTTTTCTGGCTTGCTGTCTGTGGGACGAGGGGTAAGACCCATTGCCATGCAGGCCGTCAGCAAATGCGGGAAAGATGACTGGGAACAACTTCATATTTTCCCGCCTCTGCTAACGGTCTTGTAATATTTCAATGTGATTCTGATCTTTAAAATGTTGTTTTTGCATAATGTACTATTACTGATATGTAATTTGTATTAGTACTGTATGTCTTATTGTGGGTAAGAATAAGTATATATTAAACGCATCCTCCGAAAGCGTGAATTTGCTACCAGGGCTTATCAGTTAATTCAGGAATAATATTTCTGATAAACTTCTTTCGTGCTTATGTTTAAAATGATGCAGATGTGTGTCTTTATATAATTTAGCTAAAAATCGGACAGGTTTGCAACAGCCAACCAGCTGTAACTCTTGAGGAGGGGGCGGGGCATTTTTTCTCAGCTGAGAAAAAACGCGCTATAGTTGTCCACCCATCGTCGGACTTCTAGGGCGAAACCGGGAAGAGAAAACTAGGTCCTCCTCTGCCTTGCTCTCGAAAAAACTGGCCAATTTTCCCTGGTGCCAGTGCACAGACCAGTCCCGTGGGACCCGAGCCCACTTGTACGCGCCCTGGCTGATGGAGCTGTCGTCGGTGCTGGGGGAGGCACTTTCTCCTGATGAGGGCCTGGGCCTTGTAGGGTGCTGGAGAGGTTGCTGAGACAGAGCCTCCAACATCTTCAGTGGCAGGGTTGGGGGGTGTGAGTGCACTACCCGGGGTGGCCAACATCTCCGGCTGCAACGTCTGGGCGGCTGGCCTAGGGGGAAGGAGCCATAGAAAGTCGGTAGGAAGAAGTGTCCGTCCTAGGTGAACCACTTGGCGATGGCTGGTGAAGGTGGAGGCTTAGAGGGGGAGAGGACCGCCTCTCCAAGGGCACTCTGGGCTGCAAGGACAACGCAGCTGGGGTCCTGGTGGAGTCGCGAGGTTTGACGACCGCCACTTCCTCCTTGCGAGCCCGCCTCCCCTTGTGGCTGCTTTCCAAGGCGACCTGGCGCGGTGGTGCCTGTTGCAGAAGGACTTAACGGGACTCCCGGAGCGGTGATTGTGGCTACTGGTGGAGGAGTCAGTACTCGATTCCCGGAAGGGCAAGGGAGAGCGCTGTGGAGAACCCGAAGCCCCAGGGTGGGGAAAGGTAGGCTCCACTGAAGCCAACTGGGAAGCCAGAGGGGGGACCTCGGCCTGGGGTCCTCGGTAGAGTGGAGAACACACTGTACAGCGACTCGGGTCGAACCTGTCGACGTCGCCGACGAATGAGCCAACCTATCGGATCCTGTCCGAATACCCTGGGGCCGAGCAGGGCACAGTCTGGGGCTGGGGAGAGGATGATGGCAAACAAATCTGCGTAGAAGAAAAGCCGGTGAACTGGAGTGAAAAAAAAAAATTGGAAGACGGGGAAGAGGAGGGAGGATGGGAGGAGGGGATGGAACCCCTCTTCAGCACACCTGCTCCACCCTAAACCGACCGAAAAAAGCGGCCGCCACCCATCCTAGAAGACACACAAGAAGGAGGAGGGCAGGAGCAGGGTGTCGAAAAGGGGAAGTCCAAAACACGTAAACAGGGAAAAGCAAAACCCTGTAAGATGGCCAAAGCCAGAAAAGCACCTAAGAAGCCAAACAACCTGAACCTAAAAAAAAACAGCACTCCCCCTCCTAAACAAACTAACAAAAGAAAACATTCTGGTTAACTGCTGATGTAAAAATGCACAGATGGTGCAGAAGGAACATACACAACTCATAATGTGAAGGAGAAGCTGAAGCCTGAGCAGAGTCTGGAACATCTGCTTCACAGCAGTCGGCCAAAAGGAATGGACACATGAGTTGACTCCCAGTCAAGCAGTGACATGGCACATGCCCAGGTTCCCATTCTTTGTTTCCAGTTTCTGAATTGCTAGTAGCAGCCTATACTGATATAGACATGTAAAAATTGGCCTTGTCACCTCCTAAGGATGATATCTTATAAGGTCTAATAGCAAAGTGCACTAGCGAAGCTCAACTAACTAAAACGCATAATTAACACAATATATGAATGTTGGGGTTATGTGCCGGTTTGGCAGCACTGCATCAGTCCCAACGAACATGGAGCTCAGTTCCAGGTCTCACGTCTCACTGTGAGGACATGTATGTCGTCCGTCATTTTCGTCAAGAAATGAACTATGGGTTTATCATCCGGGTTGGCACACTAACATGGCGCAGTGAGTAGGATATGAATAATAACACAAGAAGCAGAGGTGGAGTTTGAGAATGACCCCCACCCCTTTCGGAGCTAGATTTTATTTGGGGCCTTGCTGATAGATGGCACTGATTCCAGCTTTGCTGCCCATGGTTAATTCAATGGCTTTTGTACAAACTTTCCTTTCATTTGTATGTAGTCTTTGGTTACTGTCATGTCATAATGTCAGTCACCAATCATTATGCTCAGCGGGCAAGAGTCAAAACAAATGTACTTAAGAGAGATAATGTAGATATATAAATAGATATTTCGTAAAAATTTTATACAATTTCACATTGCTTCCAACTGTACACTACAGTGAAAGAAAAAACTCGCATTGCAGCCACTGACGGGGACAATAAGGCTTCAAGATTCGAATCTGAGCAACAAAAATTAATCTTTTTATTTACCATCGGATAGAGTGCATGCGGGACAAGATACTAATGTCATGGAATTAACAATATACATTACAGTATATACAGTATATTTTTATGCTTTATATTCCCCTAACTATACCTGCCTTATTCTTGACCAGCATCTTGTCATATCCGAGATGCAAACTTGATATACAGTAAAACCTCGATTAACCGACCACATAGGGGGGAAGGGGCCGACGGATAATCCGAAAGGTCGGTTAATAGTACATAAAGTCTACGGATATAAAACATACATTTTCAAAGTACCTTTCCCTAACCTACCTCATTTAAGTCCCTCTATTCATTTTTGTTCATTTGCCATCATATTTCAATAGAATTTGCTTTAAAACATTAACCACTTTAGTAAATAAATATGAACCAGCACAGAAGCCGTGAATAAGAAATGGAAAAGTCAAAGAACATTCTGTATGTCATCACAAAAATTGTGATCAAGTCCCAGGTTGCTGATCTGACTTTCTACCTCATTTACAGACAATTGCAGGGTCTCAATTGCTTCTCTTACTATGGACAACACAACATACATATATTGTTTCTCGTTCTTGATTTCTTTTTTTCATTTTTGCATTTATTTATGGTTCTTTATTACTATTACTATTATTATTATTATTATTATTATTATTATTATTATTATTATTATTATTATTATTATTATTATTATTATTATTATTATTATTATTATTATTATTATTATTATTATTATTATCATTATTAATATTATTACATTATCGCCCACCAGGCCCCGATGTGGGTCAGTGACCTGTGCCTGGGCTAATCCCAAAAAAAAAAAAAAAAAAATTAGGAGTTCAGGATTGACGGTTAATCCGAAAGTCGGTTAATCGAGGGTCGGTTAATCGAGGTTTTACTGTATACATGACAATAAATTATCTACCTTCTCATCAAATAGGGATTCCTTATGATATTTTTCTGACAGTCTCCTTCTCTTCATCGCAGGTTTGTTCGCTGTGGATGCCCGTCGATCCAGTCTCTCTTGAAACTTGTGTGCAGTTCGTGGCTGGCTCACACCTGTGGCCTCGGTGGTTCATCCCTCGTATGTTTGCTACTGAATCTAACTACCCTCTGAAGGAGTCGCAGCAGGAGCAGGAGGAAGAGTTCGGAAAAGAAAGAGCTCGAAGATACTATGATGTCCCTGTCGAGGAAATTGAGTCCAACAAATGGCCCATCCTACAGTGGGAGTGTGAGGTGTGTGTTTAGTCACTTGTGTTTGTAGATTGTAAGCCAATAAGTATCTTCTTCCCATGGGTCATAGTCTCGAAGGCTTGTATAATGATTATTCTTCTTTGATTGAAGATGTAAAAATGCACCTAACTGGTAGACTTAAGTTAAAAAAGTTATATAATCCAAAAATAAACCCTGCCTATGAACCGTTATTATGGCAGGCTAATTATTGAATTAATTATACTCTTACTTGACTTGACTTGACGTCTGTAGATATGGTAGAGGGCTATTGCTTGTAAAGCTGAGTGGGAGGGCAGGGATTAGGATTGGAAGTAGTTTGGTGGCAATTTGGGGGAGGGGGGGATTGGTTTACTGTAAACTCTTACTGTAAACTAATTTAGTCGCTCTGCTCTGCTTGCACATGAAGCACAAGAAGCCCAAATTTGTGCGGGTCTCACTAAGATAGATCTCACATCTTACATAGATTCCTCAGAATGGTTCGATAAAAATGACAACTTGTCTGACGTAAATTTCTACAGGATTATTGAATTTCTTTAGTTTATCTTGTCATCAAATGAACCCTTACGCTCGAAAGCCCAAAAGAAAGAGTTTAAAAAGGGACTAAACTTGTACAGTATGTAGAAGAAATTGCGGAACCCAAGGAAAATGTTCCTAGGGCGATGTCAGTGGCACCAGTCACCAGCTTCAAGGAACAACCACAGTCTGTCATGAGAACCAGACACAAAAAGGATCGAAGGAAAGAATCCTCGCAAGACCTTAGGATTTCAGATAGCCCTGCTAAACCAAAAACTCCAAAGGGACATGATACAGCAAATAAAATGTTTCCAAACACTAAAGGCACTCCGAATAAATGGTGTATAGTACCTCAGTTTCCAAACCACAACACAAATGACTGGAGGAACATACAGCGTATGAGGCAAGAAATTGAAAATCAACGGGAGACAAGTACACAGCCTTCGGAGGAAGACACGCACGTCCAGCAACATGATCTAGGATAGCGTCAACGGTTCAAGAAAAAAAAACGCTACCATCACCGGCTCATTAATCGCCTCGTTAAGCAAAGTGGAAGTGATGACTGTACCAGCGAGGATAGGTAACAATCGGTTATCCCTAGATATACAGTACATATGTGGGCCTGTGCCAATGTTATCTCATTAAAGTCGTTCAATGAACTCCAGTGACGATATCCTCCAAATAAGTGGACAATAGGGTGTGTCATAGGAGGGAAGATCAGCTAAAACTAATGGCCCATCACTTTTTTGGTAGATTTTAGTGTATATAAACAGAAAATAATTTCAGTTTCAATATTTTGAAACCTTTTGCTAGGTAAATTTTAGCATGAAATTTATCGAAAATCTAACGTACAGCTGCATTAGTGCATTACAATTAAATAGTGAACATTGCTTTCTGACTTCATTCTTTAACAACCCAACTAACAATATTTTTTTCTGTTTCAGATTCTGATGCATTTATAAGTTGATAATATTTGCGATGGCTGCTTGTGTCAGGACGAGGAACCAAAAATCAGCCATCTCAGTCACTATCTTGGGTCTGGGAGAGAGCTCCTGAAGTTGAGTTGCCTACATTGAGAGATGCTTTGAGATCGATTGTTTTAATCAGGCAAATCAGTGAAAAGAACCAAGAACTTACACAAACAAAGACATTGCCAGTGATATGACCAAAGCTGTCTTGGCACAGTACACTCTGGCCTGATTCAAGCCTCCAGTCATAACAAGTCAGAAGAAGTTTAGTGAGAGACTGCTAGCCAGTTGGGAAAGAACAGAGATATCTCTCTTGGGAGAGGAAAACTTGCAGTTAAGGACAGCTTTGCAAGCAACTGGACCAGTTATTTGACATAATTACTTGCAAGTGCCCAATTGTTCTCTGTCCTGAGTTTGGATGCGATCGTGACTGTAAATCCGAGGCCCACATCTCCTGTATTTGCAAGCGTGAACTGAAGATTCCTGTGATCGAACTGGCATTTGACAAAGCACAGAGAGAGAAGACTGGCAGTATAGGGGCTCTCATGATTTCTAGCCAAGATATTCCGGAGTCCAAGAGACAGGAGGCTGCCACAGAGAGACAGAAGAGGAGAAGAGTTGCCGAGGAAAAGAGACTTGAGAAGGCCAAGGGCGAGGTAAAAAAGGCCGATGATTGGAGTCAAGCTGATTCAGAGTTTAATGACTTCCCCATGGCTGATCCGAGTGCTGACCAGGAGAATGGTGACTTTGTCCCTAACCCAGAAAATAATGATCCCAAACCTTCCAGGCATAAGATTCGAAATAGGAAAGATATCCCGACCATAGCTCTGGCCAGCATGCGACACCACACTGGTCTCAGAGAAACTGCAGAGATAGCAACAGCTGCCTGGATTGACGGTGGTTTGATAACACCTGATGATGTTCACTGGTGATAGATCATAACAAAGTAAGGAGAGCCAGGAGAAACTTGCAGTAACCTAGAAGAGGAGTTTGATAAGGATAAGAGAAAATGGAATCAATTGTTTGTTCTTTGATGGGAGAAGGATGACACTAAAGTGTTCATGAAAGTTGAGATTTGACAAGTTGTTCCCCTGCCATGGTGAAGGAGGAACACTACTCCTGCAGTGAACCAGAGGGAAGTATTTGTATTTCACCCAGAGAAAGATGACATCAGGAAAACCAGCTGAGATAGTGGCAGATAACATTGTGAACTGGCTCAGAGAGAGGAACGTAGACCAGACCCTGCAGGCCATTGGAGGACAGCACCAACACGAACACAGGGGTAAGGGGGCCATACAGTGGATAGAGCGGAAGATTGGGAGGAAGCTGGTCTGGATTGTTTGTGACTCCACACCAACGAGTTGCCACTCAGACATCTGATCCAGGAGCTGGATGGCAAGACTCTTTCAAACAACAGATGGTCTGGTCCCTTGGCAAGATGCTGGACTCTGCCACTGAGTTAGAAATAAATCCGAGCTTTGAAAATCACAGTTGGCCTCCACCTGTTGAGCTTGCACATACTGTCATTGACGACCTGAGTACTGACCCGTACTATGGTTACATGATTTGCAGTGCCATCAAACTGGGGTCATGCCTGATAGACTTGCTTACCTGCAGATAGGTCCAGTCTCACATTCTAGGTGGCTCACAACGGCTCTCAGGTTCTGCAGAATTTGGGTCGCTCATCATAAACTGAAAGGGAACCAGCTTCACAACCTGAGACTTATTGTCCAATTCATCGTGAGTGTCTACCTGCCAAATTGGTTCAACGCCAAGGTCAAGTCATCGTTCTCCGAAGGTCCGAGGCATGTTCTCTTCCAGCTTGAGCTCCTGAGGAGTCAGCCAAGGAAGGTTGTTCAGATTGTGGAGCAGACTGTGAGGAGATCTTCCTGGTATGCTCATCCTGAGACAGTTCTGCAGACAATGCTCTGCAGTAAGGATGAGGAGGAGAGAAGAGTGGCAGTCAAAAAGATCTTGGATATGAGACTTATGAGAGGATCTGGGCAGAGACGAATAGTTGGTGACGATTCCTTCAGTGGGTCAGGAAGACTCCTGAAGTCAATCTAGGTGCCAAGACCCTCACCGAGGTCTCTAGATCTGGATAACATCCAGGCTGGCAGTGAGCTTCCTTACCTGCAGCCTCACCAATGTTCAAGTCAGAGCTTTCCTGGACAACCCCATGCATGTCCCTGCCTGGCCCTCGCACACCCAGAGTATAGAGCGTTGTGTACAGCAAGTGAGCGAGGCCAGCAATCACGTGTACAGCCAGGAGAGGAGGGAAGGCTACATCCGAGCTCAGGTGGTCAGCAGAGAGGTGATGAGTAGAAACAGAAGCAAGAAAGACATGTTCTCTATGGTGTGCAGCAACACCGGGTCGTAGTAGTAAAACCGGTTTTTGTATTTGATGATTTTGTTTTCTAAAGGAATATTAAATTTAATAAATGTGTCAAGATCATTTGTTTCACTTTTCTGGATCATTTTCATCCTAATAAATTAACCTGATACATTTACTTTACTTTAAATAAGCTATTTAGTGGTGTTGGTAAAGGGTGGGAATACTGAATTTTCATAAGATTTCAAGTTAAAATTGACCTAGCAAAAAATGAAAACTTTTCAAATCTGAAGATATCACATGATTCTGCAGATAGAACTACATCATTAATACCATGGGCCGATTTTTCAAACTCCAAAAAAAAAAATTCGCCTCCGTATGACACACCCTAGTGGACAATAAGACCTACAGACATTCCTGTGTCCGGTGTGTCATGAGTCCAATTAGACATAGCGGGGGTTATAGCACTACCAATCCGTTTTTCTAGGTCCAGTAAAGCGTTTCTGGCGGATTTCTACATAGTTAAGGCATTTTCTTTGCCAGCGGACGGGTTACTTGGTCTGACGACTCAAAGGCAGAATAACTTTAACGTTCAGCCACGAGATCAAACATTCACGCATAATTGTAAAATATATCACGCAATGCAAACTTCACATCCATTGCTTACTTCTGGTGTTCGTGTAATAACTGCCTCGACAGGTGAGGGAGAGTCTTTGGCACAGAAGCAATTAGTAATGGAGTCACTCTCTGAAACTCTACGTAGTGACTCAAGCACATTTGTGATGAAAGCGGCCAGAAATGAACTCTAACGCCTGCTCTGTCAACTGATGCGCAACGGTTACATAGCCAGGAACTCACTAGAGTCACAGTACGTTTTGTGTCTGACTGAAAGTTTACAAGTGAAAGGCTTATCACTTGAGTCTATCTTAAGCACTGTTAGATTAGGTAGTCTCACAGATGTCCTCCTTCTCAAGTGAACAGGGGGCCCATTACCTTAAGAAAGGGATGTTGTTTAGGTAATTTCCTTCTTTAAATAAAAGCAGTTGTCGCAGAGCCAATAGAATTACCAACAGGTAGTATAACACAGGGGGAATCAAACAAAAAATCACATGTTATAGATAAAGTAGTCGATCATCCTCAAGGCAAAAGTGATCTTTTAGAATTACTCGCCGAGAGAGGTAAAACAACGT